CCTGATGGCAATTTAAGAAACAATAGACTCAACTCGCGCTGCCGGCTTTGCTACTTCAAGTGTCATTTTCCACAACCAGGCAAGTTTTTTCCTCTCTCTCTCTTTTTTTTCCTCCTTCTCTCCCAACCAAAGATGTTTCTTTCCTTTCAGTGCGTTTAGATGAGGACGCTGGTTGCCGTAGACAGATACACCAGAGAGGGAGAGTGGGGTGGGGGGAAGGGGGGAGAGAGAGGGAAAGAGGAAGGGGGGCAGGGAAAGACAGAGAGAGAAAGAGAAAGAGAGAGAGGAGAGGGAGAAAGAGAGAGGGGTGGACCCTGCTGGATGGAGATTCTGTTTTCTCCTTGCTAAAATAGAAGTGATTTGCAGGCTTTCCCTATGGAATCCAGTTTGACTCTCCCCAGAGCTAAACACAGGCACACTAACCCCAAAGGGAGGAGGCGGGGCTCGCGCCTCACGGCCCCGCCCCTTCATTTGCATAACGCCATCCTTCCGCCAAGCTGCAGCCAATCGCGGCTTAAGAAGCCTTCTGGCTCGCCGCGCTGGGCCACGCTCCCTCATTAACATCCCTCTCCGGGTGGCGCAGGGGAGCTAGCCAAAGTTCCTCGCAAAGTGGCGAGCGAAGGATCGCTGAGCACCAGCGTCTATGCTGGGAAGGAGCTGGGCACAGCTGGGCAGAGCCGGGCTGGAGAGGGGAAACAGACGGAAGGGAAGGGCGATATTTTTCTCAGGGATTTGAACTGGGGTCTGCATCCTGGTCGTTGCGGTCCTTTTAGCATCCTCGCCACGCCCTGAGCGCGCTCGCGGTTCACAGGCTGCGCCCTCCCAGGGCCGATGCTGCGTCCTGCTCCGCTGTTCTGGGACGTCGGGGGCAAAAGTGGAGGAGACGGGAGAGCCCGGGCAGAAAAAGCAGGAAGCGCGTCCCAGGTGCCCACCTCTTCGCTTTGAGGAGGGGGTGGTGGGGTGGAAAAATGGGTGCTCGAGGTCGGGGCGGGAGATCGCGGAGGGCACTTTTCTCCACGCTGGGAGAAGTGGGTGGACCCTGGGTCTCGGTTAGTGAGGTTCTGTGGGTCCCTCATGGAGTAGGGGGACCCGGACTCTGTCCGTTGTCTGGCCTCTGAAATGGTTCTCGTTCTGATGCTAGCTTCGAGGCCGCGGGTGTTAAGGCACCGTCCCCATAAGCTCACTTATGTCGAGTAATCCGCGGGATGTGTAAACGGTGGAATGAATGCTCTCACTAGAGTTGTATCAGGATGCATTCTAAAATTTACTCAGATTCATTTCCCAACCCCTTACCCTCGCCCCAAAGTATTTTTTTTTTCTTTAGTGTATTTACCAGAGCAACAACGTCTCTGATTGATTGGTTATTTCATGTAGGATTTCTGTCTTCCTCATTCTTTCAGTTTAAAAGGGGGACTTGAACAAACCCACCCCAACTTCTGCCCCTGCCAGTTGTCCAGAAAGTGAGAGATTGAGTTAAAAAGGAGGGGACTGGGGGGGGGGGAGGCTAGGAGAGAGGGAGGGAGAAATGGTCTCCTACCTCAGACCTTTCTGTATATATGCATGTAAGTGGCAAAGAAAATAGCTAGAAGTTTCCGGGTAATGTGCCCCATCATTTTTAGCAGGTCGTAACCTCTAATAAGCACATGGTGAACTTCTGTTTCATTGCCCTCAGAGGAACTCCCTGACTGCAGCCAAATCTGCTAAGGACTCCTTGGGGGGAGTTCTCTGCCAGAAATCCAGGTCCCCTTTCTGCTGGCCTTCCTTGGCCCTTTGATTTAGGAAGCTCATGGGGTCAGTGACGGAACAGTACACACGCCTATGTTGAATGGATGGAGACAGGCAAAAATTACGCTTTGTGCTCTTGGCAGAGCAGGAAAGTGAAAACCACTTCCCAGTTCCTAAACCAGAAAAAAAGGACTGTGTTTCAGGTCCGTGAGTACACGGCCACTATCCTCAAACACTACTTTATCTTTGTGCACAAAGCGTGCCCTGCTCCCATACCATTTAATCTGGACCACTAATGTGCTGAGAGCACTTTGTCTCTGGCAAAAATTAATAATTAATTCAGTCTCCACCAAGACACTCCTGAAGACATGTGTCTGGTCCATCAGGATCTACGTAACATCTACCAGAGTTCCTGACACACAGCACATGTTCAGGATGGTTATGTTGGTGGAGAGACTGAAAGGGTTATAACTTTGTGGGCAGGGGAAAGGAGGAGGGGACTTTCTCCATCTCTACAGAATTGAAACGCACAATTAAAACTGGGCCTGCTGAAAACTTCCCAAAGATCCAAGCTTAACCTCCAAAGTCCAATGAGTCCCCCAGAGCCAATCCCTTCCCCTGCCTGGACTATCCCCTGTCTTCTCTGAGGGTATCCTTCAAGGAAGGGGAACCAGGAAACAGAGGCCACCCTTCTATCAATGAGTTCCAGATAGCCAGAGCTAAAGACTCAAGCTTCCCTCTCCTTAATTGCCTGAACCTCCACTTTTACTCTCCAGTGAACTGTATTCAGGACTCCAAGTTGAGTCTGGTAAAGTACATTCCCCAGTGAGGGGGAACACACAGTGTAATAGGGATCAGGTCGCTGCCAAAGGAAAGCAGCAAAAGTGCCGGGAAAAGGGGAGATACAGCCACTATGAGGACCAGGATCAGTGTGAAGCACACAACAGATGGATTTCTAAGGGGTCAAGCAGAATCTAGAAGCACTCTGAAGATTATGTGCTTGTTGAGGGGCCTGAAGGTGCCTGTTTCAAAAGAGGAATCGGCGCAGAGAAAGAAAATGTCAGCAGCCCAACTTCTGCCCCAGAGTAGGTAACCTCTAGAAACTAAATAAGAAGGAGGCAATTTCCACATCTGCCAGGCCACAGGAAGAGGTAAAACAAAAAAAGGGCAAGAATCTTTTGATAAGACTAATTCCTTTTGGCTGTTCAGAAACAGCAGATACCTCACCTGGGATGGCGAATGACTTTCTTTTAATCAAGCAGAATGTATTCATAGCATTTCTTCTGAGTGTTCTGGTGCTTTTAAACTGGCTTTTCTCGCCCAGTAATAAATGATTAAGTAGGAAGGAAGTTAAAGAGAAGGTAGAAAGAGATATAGAGGGTGATAGGAAACTGGGAACAACACCCACCAGGCCAGCCGACTAGTAGGTTTTCGTGGATTTCCTCTGGTGAATATTCAACTAGCAATTGTAATTTTAAACTTTGAAAAATTCCTTAAACACTTGTCAATCTTCCCTCCTGTGAAGCACCACCTCCAGAAGACCAAGCATGTGTGTGGAGAAGGGGTACTATAAAGTATGTACTGA